AGCAGAACATGTTCTTAGCATGTAAATCATTCTCCAGGCTGTTTTTATTTTTTGTCGGGGGTTGTGTCCGCTTCCAAGACGGATTAACGGTGACAAAATCCGTCCGCTGCGTCAACAACCCAACCGCAGTGTCACGAATCAGCCACAACCCAGCCAGCGTTTGACTCAGACGACTGGTCCGGCTGGGGAACCCGCGCCAGACAGGCTGTGGATGCCGAATGGACCGCTTGCAAACCCCCTGCATCAATGCATACAGCGGCCGTCACGGCGTGTTTCATGGGCTGCACCGATAACGTCATCTCATGGCTTGCGTTTGCATTCCGGCGGTCCATTCATTTCGGCTAAACATAGAACCAGATGTGTTTGCAGCCAGACATTATGACAGAGAGAGACAAAGCCTGGCCTGGCCTGGTCTGGTCTGGCCTGGTCTGGTCTGGTCTGGTCTGGTCTGGCCTGGGCGGCCTGGCCTGGCCTGGCCTGGCCTGGCCTGGCCTGATCTGGTCTGGTCTGGTCCGGTCTGGTCTGGTCTGGTCTGGTCTGGTCTGGTCTGGTCTGGTATCAAATGGGTTTGCAGCCAGACATTGTGCCAGAGTGAGAGAGAGCCTCGTCTGGTCTGGTGTGGTTTGGTGTGGTTTAGTGTGGTCTGGTTTGGTTTGGTCTGATCTGGTGTAGGCTGGTCTGGCGTGGTCTGGTCTAGGCTGGTCTGATGTGGTTTTGGTTTGTTGCGCCCCGCTGACGTGGCGCCCTCTTGTCTGTTGCAGGTGGGTGCCAAGCGAGGCGTGCGTGTCCCCTGGAAGGTACGTACGGCCGCTGTCTGTCGCTGGAGGGGGGGGGGGGGGGGACGAACGGCTCCCGCCGGCCCGCGAAGCAGGGGCAGGACCGCGCTGGTCTCGGCCGCTCCCATCGAGCTGGGCGGCGGCTGCACCGACGGTCAGGCCATCTAGTGACGACCAGGCGCGCTGCGCCAGAAATAGGCTCCGCCCACTGGCAATTTCTTGGAAACAACAGCAAGGCGTCGCTCACCCGGCGCAAGCCAATTGTGTGGGAGGGGTGAGCCCGCTACTTACTCCGACTGTGGAAGGCTGCGAACGGAAGTCGCGGCCAAGTTCGTCTCCCGTGTCTCCCATTCCTACCATGTAAGATTAACTGTAGGGAATGTTGTTGGATCAAAGAAAAGAATGTCAAACCTGACGCTTTATGTCACATGCGGCATCTACGAAGTATTTAGGTGTCGCGGAGATGCATGCTTGGATGCATGGCGTTGCTGTCGCCCGGGACATGGCCTTGGTCGGGTCTGGCCGTGCTCTGCCGATGAGAACGGGCCACGTTCGACAACGGCCATCCGTTTCCATTTGATGGATGAATGAACGACTGCGGCCTCCGCTTGAGAAGAGACGGCCGCTGCATATCGGCCGCCGAGGGCAGCCATTGGTGGCGGGCGGCCTGCTGCGGCGCTATCGACTTTTCGGACCGGCGGCGGGCCCGCAGTGCCCCCTGTGGCGTCTGCGCTCTCTCTCTCTCCCTCGCCCTCGTCGCTCTGTCCTGTTGCCAATCGCTGGCGAGTCGCCGCCTGCGGCTGGCGACGCTGGCCGGATCTCCGCGGCGGAGGACTGCGAGACAGAAGAACTGCACGTGACGGGAGGCGAGGAGCACCTCTGCGCAGGAGATTCTCCGCCATGCCGGGCGCCGGTCGTGTTTTGGGCCGGTGGTAGCCCGGAAGAATCCGGAGGTTGCCGGCAATGGAGCCGGTCACAGTCAACCTGATCCCAGCTGTTGTGGATGAGATCAACCGTAAGGTAAGCCCCGCAGCTGAGAGGCCCCAATGGTGGTGTTTCACAGCTGCCCCCGGCTGACGTCTGGCACGCGGAAAGCTGACGACAGATGCAAGCTCATTTTATTGATACTTTTCCGAACGAGTGTTGTTCTCTAGTCCTGAGTTTCGTCTTATTGTTTCGTAGCGACGAGGATCCCACAGCTGCAGTGCTGCAGTGCTGATATCAAAGGGCTGTTATTTATGCGCTGCAATGGTATCTACCGCAGTGGCATAACCGAGAAGAAGCTTTTGGGGCCATGCCCTGTCCCCCCTCGTGGAGATGGCGGGGTCCCCTGCTGCCGAAGACCCCAGTATTGATGGAAGTTCAGGATCGTTAAGTTTCTTAAAACCTGAGAAGGGTCCCTGAGATTCAAAATAGGATCCCATATCCTCTATTTCACTCTCACAAAGCTCCTACGAATAAGGCGATCAGGGCCCCTTCAGCGACGAGGAGAGGCCCCGTGACTAAAAAGGCCTCCGGTGACCCGATTTGGTCGCTTGGATGAAATCCTGCTGCGACACTTACTGTCGCGATATAAGCAACCTATGGAAAATGCAGTCCGGGTGTTCCAGTGTGCTATCCTAAAGCGAAGGCCGGAAGTTAAATATCGTCACGATTCAAAGTCATTAAACGTCGTTACTGAGTATCATCAAAATCAGCATCATCACAGCAACGTTTGAACTGAATTTTCCTGCATGATCGGTTAAATCAGCATTGTGATAAGGTTGCAAGTGTAGCTTTGGAGCGTTACATGCCAGGACACTCCAGCATATAACAGTGACAGGACGGGTGGCCGCCGGGCGTGGTCAGCAGGCTCGGTCTGTCACCCCAGACGACGGCTGATGCGCCTATTGCGCCTGTTCCGTGCTATTGGTGACGCCGATTGGGTGATCGGCGGGCGGGGTATCGGCTCAGACCGCTGGCCGCACGGCGTCGGCTCGTGATAACACCAGACACACTCGCAGGAGAGCGTGACGCCGGTCCCGTACGCAGTGGTCCGTTGTCAGGTGTGCAGGTCTCAGTGCGCGGGCAGTTGTCGTTAGCAGAGCTCCGTTGGCGTCTATCCCACGACTCCATGCTTCCCGAAGTGGGCCCTACAAACTCTCAAGCTGCGTGAAGTTTGCCATGCTACCGTCTTCTCGCCGTGAAAGTCCCGTTACAAATTAACTTTATTCGATGTAGACCCCCTATCATTCATTGTACTCAGCGAAAACTTTTCCAATTTCGATCGCTGTGTCCTGACAATCGTGCTTCGGAACTTCGGTCCGGCCTGGGCGGCCTCGGTGCGTTAGCATGTCTACGGACGATTAATTACCACGCCCCCTCCCAGCCCGTGTGTTGCTCTATGGCGGCGCTCCGTGCCTGGCTGGAGCGGGGACAGCTGCTGCCAGCGTCCGCCATTCTCTGGCGCCTTACAATACCCGTCAGCGCTCCCGAAGCATTTAACGACATTGCGCACGGCCGGCGCGGGCCGGATGCGCCGCCGTCAGTATAGTGCTGCCACCTATACACGGGTTTGGTAACCAGACGACGGCGGTCTCTCGCCGCAGTGCCGTGGTGACAGGTGTCACACCCTCGCCCCGGGTACGAGCTCTGAGTTAGCGGGGCGCTCCCGGTGCGACGCTGCACTCTCAGTAGCGCCGCCCTCGCCGCTAATTCAGTGATAATTTGACATATTTCCGCCGATCATTTCGCCGGTAATATACTCCAAGCAGAGTCCGTTATGTCAGCCACGTATTCTGTCAGAAATCTTCCGTGGGGAGGACGAGGGCGGTGCCGTGACAGGGATTGGCGGTGGGTCAGCCGCCGATCCCGGCGGGGAGACAGGCAGCAGTGTCGACTCAGGGGTGGCACGTCTAAAGTGGACATCGTTTAGTGAGGGCTGTACCCGAGTCACATCCTGTGATTGTCGTCCCCCCCCCCCCCCCCCCGTCAACGCTGGGACGTAAGCCTGTGAGCCTGTCCTGGCTTAAGCGCAGCGTCATCAAGTTCGATGCGGACGAGATTTTCCCGAGAAGTGTTTTCAAGAAGTCCAAAGTTCTTCCCGCTGTTGTTGTTTTTGGCATTAAGCTCGGTTGCTTGGGTCCAGTATTGAGACCAGCAGTCCGTGACAAACATTGAGTTGGACGCTGCTGCCAGGTGCTGCAGCTGCTGCTGCCGCCGCTGCGGGCTGGTCTCTCCTGGCTGGCCCGTCTGGCCCGTCTGGTGGCTGGCCCGTCTCTCCTGAGGCCCGCGCTCGGGGCTCTCCTGGCAGGGCCATGCTGCGCCGCCTCGCCGCCCGCCAGCTTCCGCGTCCCGGCGACGCCCGGCGGCGGGGAGCCAGCAGGCCGCGTCTGGAGTCTAGCAATGTCACACATGCCGGCATGCGCGTCATGCGGGCGTGATCCCGACCCCCGGGTGGCGGCCAGCGCCCTGTGTCGGCCCCTGTGCAGCACGCGCGGCTCGTTGCATCAGCGGCGCTGGGCGCGGCCGCTGGCCGGCCTGCGCCGCTGTTTACTCCGGCGGGCCGGGCGGGGGCGTGGCGGCGGCGGCGGCAGTAGTGCCCCGGCACCGTCGGCGCGGCGGCAGAGGCAACTCAGGGCAAGGAGCGTGTCCAGGGCCGGGGGCCGATGCTAGGGTGGCCGCTCTGCTCTTGTCCCCGCTCCCGGCTCAGTCTGGGCTTTAGCCGGCACTCCAGCGGCGTGCGCCTCGGCCAGGGGCCGCCCCTCGGGTCCGGCGGATGATGACACGCCCGTCTGAGGTCATCCGATTCGCGGCCGATGACCGGCCGTTCCGTCCCGGGCTGACGACACCTCCACCCCGTGATCGGCCCCGGCGGCGGCGGCGCGAGCGGTGTGAGCTGACAGCTACGCGCTCCCGCGGTTGTGCCGTCTCGGATATGACGTGTGCGCCGCCGCCGCTTGTCTCGCTGGTATCGGTCGCGTCGGCTCCTGTCGCAGGTCGATCGCCGGTGTCTAACGGTGGAGGAGTTATTTTGCCGGTGTCTGCCGACGGCGGTGGCCGGAATAGCTCAAGGCCGCCGCCGGGGCGACGCGCATGTCAAATAAACAGGCGCGCGGCGCCCCGGCCGACCCGCTAAACACCGCGGCGGGGCAGAGGCCGCGCCGGGCGGGGGGAGGGGGCGACCGCCGGGCCTTTAAACGGGCCGAGCCCCCGGCCACCGCCACTGTCAGCCGGGACACTGACCGGGTGACTGGTGCCTTCCGCCCATTGGTTGTCGGCGTTGGTGGTCCCCGCTGATTGTTCGGTGCTTTGGGAGACGGTGTGCGATTGGCGGAGAGTGACGGTTCCCCTTGGAAACCGATCGGCTGCAGCCTTTGATTGGACGAACTTGTCCGACGTGGCCAGTGATTGGTGTTGTGTTCGGAGCCGTAGTCTCCGGCCTTGGAATAAAAAGTCTGCCCGGTGATCACTGCCATGGGCGTGACCTGAGCGGTACCGGTGGACTGCGACGGTGACCCGGGCGGCCCGAGTGACCCGGGCGCGACCTGAGTGACCAGGGCGTGACCCGATCGATTCGAGTGATCCGAACGCGATCCCAGTGGTCCGAGTAACCTGAGCGTGACCCGGGTGATCTGAGTGACCCGGGCTGCGGCGGGGACGGCGCACCGTCCGGCCGTTGGGAGCCGCCGGGCCGTGACCTGACCGCGGCCGGTGCCGGGTGTAGCTGCTGGGCTGGTGCTCGGGCCAGCTGAACTCAGCTCAGCTCACCGCTGCCAGTATGTCCGAAAAGCTCGGCCGCAAGATTTCATTTCGGGTGAGTCTGTCACACAAGTGTCTCGGATTTCGGGCTGTGCAGACCGTTGTGCCACGAGATGTTCTGCTTCGAAGCTGTTCTGATCGCGAGATGTTCTGCTGTGTTGTCGTTTCCAGATGTACCAGAGTACAGACCGCGTCACGCGCGTGTGCCCCGTCCAGATCGGCGCACACAGTCCAGGGACATGTCAGTACGCCGCCATGGCCTTGCGAGGTCGGGCCAGCTCTTCCGATTCTCAGTTGCTGAGTGCATGCTCCCCATTTTGACAAACTTCACTCCCTGAGCCTGGAACCCCTGCTGCCGTCGTGTCCGGGGCGTGCTGTGCCAGTTCCTCAGTGTCGTGATCTGATGCCGCCGCTCTGGGCGCCGCATCAGCCGAGCCGTCGAAGCGCTGCGAGGCTGCGAAAGCGATCAGCCTATGTCGTCGCTCGCACCGCAGCTAGAGCTGAGACTGGCGGGCGGACCGGCGGCGCGTGCCCGAACCGGCTCGGATCTCCTCATCCTGCCCTGAGCTTGGCCCTGGCACCGAGCTCAGGGCTCGATAGCCCGCTCGGACACCGACCTCGGGTGTCTCGCTGAGCATGGCGCTCGCGCTGTCGTCGACGCAGGCGGCTAGAGTCGTGGGTTCACTGGTGCGCGGTGGGAGGAGACGGGTCGGACAGCTGAGGGGCCTGCACCGGCTCACCGTCTCAAAGCCTCTGATGACCAGAAAAGTCGTCTCGGTTTGTGAAGTCGCATGGACGCCAGCTGGGAGGACTTATGCAGTTGCGCTTTGTGGGACCATTTGAACGCTGAGAGTCGGAGGCGGCTTCGATCGACTGAACAACGCCGTCTGCCGGCTCGCTGCCATGGTGAGAGTCGGCCGGAGCCCAGGCTGTCTCACCCCCACCCACCATACTCCAGCTCAGCTTTGACGAGTCTGAAGGAGGGGGTCCTCAGCGCGGTGCCGTGTGGGGCGGGGCTGCGCTCTGGGGAGGGCCCGTTGCCGGATGTGCGGGCGGGAGATGCGGGCGAGGTCGGCCGCTCGGTGTGTTCAGTTGCCAGTCCACCCACCAGCGGCCAGTTACCCGCTGCGCTGGTTCTGCCGCACGTGTCGGCTGCTGTTACCACGGGCTGGCCGGGCGGCAGTTCACCGTCGGCAGGATAGATGGCAGCACGGTCGCTCGACGAGGCTTTCGGTGACTGGCTGCCGGCTGCGTCGTGCTCAGAGCAACAGCCTGAGATGGACGATAGCAAGCAGGCACACCGCCGGTTGATATGAGCGGACGTCTCGACACGGCGGTCCTCGGAAGGTTGGAAAGACGGAGACCCGGGACGTTCGGCTTCCGCGCCCTGAGAGGTCGCGAGAGGTGACGTTCTGAGCGATCACGCTCTGACTTCCGAGAGGTCTCATTCTGAGATGTCACAAGGCCGGAGATCTGAATCATGGTGCTCACTCGTGGCGTTCGGGTGCGGTCGGTGGCTATCTTAGTTACGTTGCCAGGCTGGCTGGACATTCCAGGCCTTTGGTCGAGCTGCCTTGCATATTTTGTGGACAAAAGAAGAAACAATGGGAGTTGTTAACAACATTCTAGGCGAGAAGGAAGACTGTTTGGCGTGCACTGTATGTTCTGTTTGTATTTTGAGATGTCAAGATAAAAGGATAGTTTGTTCATGGTCATGATCGCAGCTCTCTTGGAAAAGGCTGAATGATTTTGTGACTTAAATGGCACGCTTCAGCATGTATGTAACTGTGGATAACCACGCGTCCTTGTCTTGTCATGCAATTTCAAACGAAGTGTCCGGAGCAGTCCAGACGAGTTGTGCCTGTCCCCCCGATTCATTGGTGTCCAGAGAATGTTTCTCAAGGCTCTAGGGGCGCTTAACGGGGCTCTGGTGGCGTCTGGACCGGCGGTCGAAATATGGGTGCAAGGAATGCACACATCTCTGGTAAATTTGATTGAAATGCTGCTTGCTGTGTGTGGCAGCTGAACGAAGAATCTGCACATCGCAGCAGTATTGACGAGGACGGATGTTTTGATTTTCCCCTGATTTCGCTGAGCGAGCCCGGAAAGCGCAGATCGCATTGCTCGATGATGTCACCGCCTTCTCCGCAGCACTTGATGAACGCCCCCCTCCCCTTGGGCCGCATGGGACGGGGGCGGCCTGTTTACACGCGACACCAGTCATAGGGGGGGGGGGGGGGTCAGGGGCACCGTGCGCCGGTATGATGGCGACCTGGTAAGGGGGGAGGGATGTGTCGCTCGCTCAAAGGAGCAGTCATCTCCTGTGGTCGTCCAACGTCTACACGTGGTCTCTGGCGGCAAGGCGCAGGTCGAGAGGTAGTTCGAGATGCCCATTGTTTACGACTTGGGAGATCGGAGCAACACTCCCGTCGTCGCTACCATCACACGGCGCGTCGCGCAACGTACGAGTTCATGCGGCGGGACCGGTGTCAGCTGCTCGACGGGCACTTGGTAACAAGCCGCCACCGACAGCACGGCCGGCGGTGCGCTGGCGACGCGTGAACATTCTGTCGCCTCACACCGTGACCTGTGTACAGCTGTGGCGGCGGCACCTGTGCCCCCGCAGCGCTGTGTCTTGGAGCCCGGCCGGCCGCCGGCGACGGTGACCTGGCGGTGCGGCCCCTCCCTGGCCGGGCCGCCGGGCCGGGCCAGGCCGGCAGGCGGCGTTTTTGCGGCGCCCGTCGGTGCCGGCAGCCCTGGCCGGCGCGCCCGCTAAAAATAGGCGATTTCTCATCGCAGCGGCAGGGGCGCATCGCGGGCGTGATTTTGGGCAGCGGAAGGCGGCGCTCGTAACCCGCAGTCCGTCACAGTTCGCTGCTTCGTCGCCCGCCCTGGAGCAGCTGCCTCCCAAGAGCACGCGCCAAACAACTGCCTGTCCCGGAGCACCTGAGGCGGCGCGCGCTGTGTGACAGCGAGCAAACGCCTCCGCGCGGCGGCGGCTGTGGGCGCCGCGGCCAGCTGGCGGCCGCGCCGGCCGCCGCCGCCGTCGGCACCAGTTGCTGGCGACGAGGCGGCCGGAGTGAGCCTGGGGTGCCGAGCTGTCGATCCGTTCACCTGTCCGTGGCGCCGACCGAGAGCCCGCCTGCTGCCGGGGACCTGGTGGCCGGCCACCGGCGCTGCCACGTGGACAGCCGCGCGCACTTCCCGGACGCTGTCGGCCGCCGCCGAACGAAACGACACGCGTGACGTCACCCGGTGACGTCACCCGGATATTTGTGGAGAGACATCGAACACAGTCCTTTTGGACATGAGCAACTACTTAAAGAGGAAGTTCCCTTCGTTGGGGAGTCTCGGGGTGAGTATAATGCGTGGCGAGAGACGGAGCGAGAGCGAGAAACGGATCGAGAGCTGGCCCACTGAGACAATTCGTCGTTGGTAATCTTTGTCGGATGTTCCTCGCCTTCCTCAGTTGGTTTTTTACCCCTGCTATCCCGGGCAGACCGCTGAATCAATAACAATGCGACAATGTGCTTGCAACTAATTGCTGCTGGGGCGTTGTGCGTCGGTGTCGTGTTCGACGCTCGCCGACGGAGGGCGGCCTGAAGGGCAGGGCTGGCCGGCTGGCTGATTGGTAGCCCGATCTCCTGCCGTTCCCCGTCCGCGTCACTTCCCGTCACGTCACGTCACGTCGCGTCACGTCACGTCACGTCCTCCGATGGCCAGCTGCAGGTGCAGCGGCGGCTGGAGCGGTGGCCGTGTTTGAACAGCCGGCCGGCCCCGGCGCCGCTCTGCCCGGCTGGAGTGGGCCGCCGGCGCCGCTCTGCCCGGCTGGAGTGGGCCGTCGGCGCCGCTCTGCCCGGCTCGAGCGGGCCGCCGGCGCCGCTCTGCCCGGCTGGAGTGAGCCGTCGACGCCGCTCTGCCCGGCTGGAGTGGGCCGCCGGCGCCGCTCTGCCGGCTCGAGTGGGCCGTCGGCCGCCGTCGTCCGGCGCTCCGAGCGTTCCAATAAGCGGCGGCTCCGCGGCGGCTCGCCTCTGGGCACGCGCCACCGCGCTGCCGCCGCCTCGGCGGTCGCGTCATTAAGAGTGGCTTCCGCCTGACCGCCGGGCTGAAATGGCGCGGTCTCTGTGGGCCGGCCGGGCTGAAATGGCGCAGTCTCCTCTGCTCCTCCTCTCGGTCCGCCCGAAGTGGTGCAGTCGCTGCCGGCTCCGAGCGGTGGCGCCGCCGTGCTGCGGATGCCGCCAGCCATCACGGCAGGGCTTGGAGACACCCCGGGAGGCCTGGGGAGGGGCGACGGGAGACCTAGGGAGGGCAACATGAGACCTAGGGAGGGCGACGGGAGGCCCGGGGAGGGCGACGGGAGGCCTGGGGACACCCCCGGGAGGCCTGGGGACACCCCCGAGAGGCCTGGGGAGGGCGACGGGAGGCCTTGGGAGGGCGACGGGAGGCATGGAGAGGGCGAAGAGAGACCTGGGGAGGGCGACGGGAGGCATAGGGAGGGCGAAGAGAGGCCTGGGAGAGCGACGGCGATGCTGAAATGCTGCCAGACGGTTTCCTGGCCGTTTTAGTGCTGTTTATGTGACGTCGCCCACATTCCGACCCACCGATATCTGGGATGGAGGAATTGTTCGGACTATTGTCCTCGACCAGGACGATAGTCCGAGCAATGATTCCATCCGTGGTACTAGTACGTCATCTCAATCCTCCCGTAAAACTGCCACCAAAGTTTACTTTTTCTAAATTTTGATGCGTTGTCCGGACTTGGACTAACGTCGGATATCCAGGATCCATCTTCTTTCCGCTTGACTGTAGCTCCGACGGCGACCCGAATGTGGCTTTGTCTGAGCAGGACCCGGACTAACCAGTCGTGGTGGTTGGAAGTTTTACAGGCTGGCTGGACGCCCGTCCTCGGCCGTCTGTTTGTATTCAGGACGCATCGCTCGGCGCGCCGCTCAGCCGATGAGAATGCAGCGCCCGCTGCCCACCCCGCCCTCCGTCCCCATCCGCGGCCCCCGTCCGCCGGCTGCGGCTGCGGGGCTAGTGCTCGGCCGCTCTGTG